CCTTTGCCTAATCACTACGCCGACTTTCGATAGGTTATCATAGAACGTTGCACGAAGATCCATAAGATTGAGCGACAGACTCGCCGTTTTCCCGAACGACAATATTTAACCATGCTGATCGGTCCGGTCCAGACTGGCCTTTTTTTGATTTTTAATTAAAAAAAATAAAAAATTTACATCTTTCACATGTAAATTCACTTGATTACCACCTGGTTACGGGTGATTTCTTATTAATTGATGATTCGAATAAAATCGTTACATTGGGACAATAGTAAATTTTGGGGATAAGCACAATATAAACTTTTATTATACGCTTGACTCGAGCGGAGTCCAATGATAAGTAATTTTTTTATTAAATTAACAACTCAAGTTGATTAATTGAAAGCTGTAGAGCTCACTGAGACGCATCTAATGGTGGTTAGACCATCCAAATCTGCCTAGTGGATGATGAGATATCATTATAAAACACTCGGCTTGGAACCGTTTAACCGCATAAAAATTGTTCCATAATTTCGGGCCGAATTATGTTGATCATGAGCCAAGGTTATCTTAATGCGATTAAAGAAATTCTAGCTGACTATATAAAATTCTATATAAACAAACGTAGAAATTTATCTAATCTGCTAAGCGTTTTTTAGTGATTACACTAGGCCGATTTGGATGATCTAACCACCATTAGATGTGTCTCAGTAAGACTACAACCTTCAATTAATCGACTTGAGTTGCCAACTTAATAAAAAAAAAAATTACTTAACATTGAACTGCTCAGATTCCAGCTTATAGTTAATATCAGGAGTCTTGCCCCTTAGAAAATTGTGATCTTATCCGGATCAGCAATTAAATCACTTACTTCTACTTAGCTATATTAATTAGAATAGTTGTACATTCAGTGTTATACATGTGAAATGCGATCTAACATTTTGTAAATTGTAAAAAAGTCTACTAAATAAAATGCATTAATTTACACTGTAATTTTTTTTTTCACGTTAATTAGTTTCAAAATATGAAAATTCTTCGCCCACTTGATAATCTTGAAAGGTTTTTTTTAAACATTCAATCATTAAATATTTGTAGAAGCAATGTTTATTTCACAGTAAGATATTATTGGGATGAATTAGTTAACTTGCAGAATCCATTTTTAGAAATTAATATCTCTCGGATTCTTTTTCCAGCCCTTGAAAGAGTCATTTCTAAAACCCCTCATTTGTGTATTTCAATTAAAGATGCAAAGACATCAAACCCACAATTTGTCGTTTTACCTGAAATAGATTTTTCAAGTATTATCAAATTTGTTTCAATCTCGTCAAATGAAGAACTTGTCAATATTACGGAAAAAGAACTTTATACAGAATTCGATTTAGATGATGAAACGAAACCTTACTGGCGTATTATTGTTGGAACAAACAATACAATATTACATGGAGATTCAGAAAAACAATCAGATTTCAATTTATGTATAATGTTCACATGTCATCATGTTATTGGTG